TTCAGGAAACATGAGAGATTGGTACATCTGGTATTTATCACTTCTATTTGTGAAGTGACTTCTGTTTTACTTTAGACTAGGAACCTTATGGCACGCAGTTTTATAGTCCCCACTTTAGAAGAATTTAAAGACAAGGTAAAAAGTATTATTTTGAATCCTAGAATGTCATCTTGTGGAAATATTTACCTTGTCATGGGGCCGGCAAGTAGTGTGATTGAGGGCACTGGACTCCCACATGGCTGACCGTGGTTTGAGTCCCGGACCTGGTAGCTTGCCTTCTCACTTTCCCTCTCTCTTTCTCTCTTGCTCTGTCTGTCTCTGATTAAATAAATAAAGTTAAATAAAATAATTATTTTAAAAATAAAAGAAATACTTGTCACAATGAGAATCTAACCTCTTTTGTAGCTAAATCTTTATAGTTATGCTCAGTGATAATAATGTTCTTGACATATAATGAAGATTAACTATAAAGTCTATGGGCTACTGATTACATGGGAAATATAAAATACAGGTTCTTTGGACTTAAAAGAAAAGCTCATTCTATGTATACATTTTTTCTTTTAGAAGGGTTTCTTTTTTTTAAAACAAGAATTAATTTATTTTAGTTTTATTTATTATTATTTTTTAATTGACCAGAGAGATACAGAGAGAGGGAAAGTGAGAAAGCAAGCTGCCCGGTCCAGGATTTGAGTTGTGGTCAGCCATGTGGAATCCTGTGCCTTAACCACTATGTCGCCTGCTGGCCCCAAAAGGATGCATTTTTAAATCAGACCATTCACTTGAAAATTCAGCTGACATAATTGAAGAAATTTTTATTTTAATGAGAAAGTAGTTTTAAAAAGTGTTATGTTGTTTATCACTGTAGTCTTGGGGGTTCCCCGAAGATGAAGCGATGTGTCTGGCCTCATGACCTACTGGTTAAGGAAGCCATTTTCCACATGACCAACTGTGTGGTTTAAATCTGGCGCTGGCAACTTGAAAAACATGCTGGGCACATGCACATGTGTGTCCAAAAATCCTGACAAGGAAGAGAAATGGAAGAGAAGTGATTGTGGTGTGGCCACATCCCATGGGGGGTGCTTTTTCCCTCTCCCTTTCCATCTGTCTGTCTCTATGAGCCCATGTGCCACTGGCAAAATATTTAAAAACTGTGATAAATGCAGGGCCAGCAGGTGGCGTGGTGGTTAAGGGTCCCACATGTCCAATGGAGGTTTGAGTCCTGGACCTGCTTTCTCTCTCTCACTCACTCTGGTCAAATTTAAATAAATAAATAAAAAGTTAATTCTTTTAAAAATGTGATAAATGAAATAAAATTTATGAACTATGGAATGTTTAGAATGTCAAGATAGAATATGGGTCAAGATTAGGGAGATGTACACCTCCATATTTTAAGGAAAGTGATGATAATTGTGACAACTGTTGTATCCAAGACTTCATTACACTGCATGTTTATTGCCAGAAATATTTTCATACTTTTTAAGTTGAGCATTATCTGACATCAGTTACCTTGACGTCAGTAAAAAACACAAATAGCAGATATTACAAAAGCCCACATATTAAACCCCATGCATTTTACTTGTTTAAGAGTGCCCCAGGACTGTCACTCAGTATCCGTGTGCGTGTGCATGAACATGCACATACCTGCATGTATGTGAGTGGCTTTTTTTTTTTCCCCTGTTTTTGACAGAGTCTCACCATGTCGTGGTTGTCCTGTCTCAGCATTCATGGGAGCTGGGCTTACTGGTACATGCCACCATGGCCTCAGACTGTTGGCTGCCTATATATATTTTTTTATTGTAGTAAGTTATATGTTACATAAAATTTATCATTTTAACCATTTTTAAGTATACAGTTTAGTGGCATTAAGCTCCGTGGTATTCTTGTGCATCCATCACCATTATCCATTTTCAGAACCTTTTTTTTTTTTTGGACAGGCTTTTGCTGTAGGATACGTGCTCTCACCAGAAAGCCAGAGAGAGACAGCGAGAAATCACCCCCTGGGGGATGGCCACTCCGTGATCCCTTCTCCTCGATTCTCTTCTTGGGATCTTGGGCACGCATGCACATGTGCCCAGTGTGAGTTTAAGCCACGAGGTCCAGAACTTGAACTGTGGTCAACTACATGGGAGTCCAACAACATAGCCATTATGCCAACTGCTGGTCCCTAGAACCTTTTCATTATCTCCAACTCAAATTCTGTACTCATTCAGCAGTAATTCTCCCTTCTCCGGCCCCTGGCGGCCACTGTTCAACTTTCTGTCTCTCTGAATTTGACTATTCTAGATGCCTCACATATGTGTGATCATACACTAGTTGTCCTTTTGTCTGACTTGTTTTACTTAGCATAATGCCTTCAAGGTTGATTCATCCATGTTGTAGAATGTATCAGAATTTTGTTTCATCAGATGTTACTGAAAGCTAATCTTTTTTTTAATTTTAGAATAGAAGATTATATAGAAATTTAGGGTTTAGGGCTGACCCTGTGGCCTTGTGGTTAAGGGAGTTTCTATCCCATGTGGCTGGCTGTAGTTCAGTGTCAGGTTTGAAACTTGACTTACAATAATTAAAAATGTAATCAAATTGTCATAGCACTGTGGGCTCCTTATCTTGAGAGATCAGTCACTAACCAGCTATTCAGCACTGATTTAGTGCTCTTGGAGGCATAGTACTATATAGGAACTCTGGTTTGTTTTTGTTTTTTTGGTAGGAGATACTTCTCTGTGTGTATAGAAAGGTAGATATGTCTTTAAATATATATCTCTTGCATATATAAAAATATGTGTCCTACAGAAGATGTAAATCCTTCCACATGTATTTTCTAAATAAAAAGTTATTCTCTGTTTTCTGGAGGGTAGTCCATAATCAAATTTTTCAAAGGTTCTCACAATGCCTTTTATAAATATGTTTTTCGCTACCTTTTTCCTCCCCACCAAACCATTGCTTTTAAGCCTCAGACATTGCAATTATTATATACCTGGTATTTTTCACTTTAGTTATATAGAGCAATCCTTACTTCCAAATAACTTATTTTCCCTTTCCTGATACTGACTTTCTAAAGAGACCAGTTCAATTTTGTAGAATGCTTCCTTGATTTTTTTTTTTTTTCCTTTGCTTGCTGTTGTGCTCTTGGTGTCATTAAATTTGTTCCTCTCTGCCTTGTATTTCCTGTGGACTAGAAACTGGCTCTAAAGGCTCAATTTAGGGGTTGGATAGTGGTGTGGCAGTGATGCAGCTCTGAGGCCAGCCCACAGGGAAGGGGCTCGATAGTGGTGTGGCAGTGATGCAGCTCCGAGGCCAGCCCACAGGGAAGGGGCTGGATTGGTGTCTGGGGGCCTCCTTGAACATGCCAGGCACGCTTGTGCTCATAACCTGGGACTGGCTAAGGCTTGAGGTGGACGGGAGCCCGAGGGCCCCATTGAGTGTGCCTATTTCTCTGTCTTTTTCTTTTTCTGAAGAAAGAAACTTCAGAAACTTGACTGAGATTGGAATTAAACAATTTTTGGCAAGAACACTTTGTAGGTGATGCACTGATTTTGAGCTTTTTTTTCCTTCTGGTGAATGGTGATATGAACAGTTTTATATAGTGATTCGTGGTTTATAAAATACCTTCACATACAGTTTCTCTAGTAAAGTCGTTAACACTCTGTGAGGCAGGTTGATACTGCTCTTACTGTGCAAACGTTAGTTTTTATTAGCTCTTGAGTTGAAAAGTTGTATAGCTCCACTGGTTATTAGAATTGGAAAGGAAATTACTTTTTCTCTACTATCCTGTGAGATTTGTTTTTTAAAGAAGAAACTAATGTTTTTGCAATAGTCAAAAACAAAAAGTAAAAATTATCTACCTAAACATCATTTATAGTTATTGTGTATAATTCTATATAGGGTAATGCCCACCGCTACTGTTAAATAATTATTTCCCCTCTTTAAAAAAAAAAATTACGATTATATCAGTAGGTGAATAAACAACTAGTCTGAATCTGAGTTATATTACTGCCGCTCAGAGCTTCCGAACAGTGTGAATAACTAGTGTTAGCATACCAAGTTCATATTCCAGCTAATAGGAAGGTAATTGGTTTTTTAAATTATCCTCTGCTACTATAAGTAAATTTATGGTTTCTTTTAGGGTTTTGTCTTGCCTTTAACTAGTTGTTTCTAAAATTATGTAGAATATTTAATCAGTGTTTTAAAATATTCAGACCGGGGGCTAGCAGGTGATGTAGAGGTTACGGTGCTTGACTCCCACATGGCTGACCACAGTGTGAGTCCTGGACCTGGCAACTTGAAACGCACACCATGAGTGTGTGCATGCATGCCCAAAATCCCAGGAGGAGAATAGAGGAGAAGGAATTGTGGCAAGGCCACAGTTATCTCCCTTAGGGGATAATTTCTTACTTTCCCTCTGTCTCTCCAGCAAATGCATGTACCCTGTGGTAAAACCTTAAGTAAATAAATAAATATAAAATAAAATATTCAGATGTAGGATATCTAAAAGCCCTTGTAGTTCTATGATTTTTATCTAAACAGCTTTTTAAAAAAAGTTTTACTTTGAATAGAGTGACAGTTAAAACCACTTGAGGGGTTTACATTCCCAGCCTGTATATTGGTGGTAAAAGTAGGTATGAAACCTCAGTAATGACTCATATCTGCAGAATTTATAGTAAGTCTAGCTACCGTTTATTAGAAGGCTATTATACTCTTTTGTGCTAGGTACTTGATTACACTCGACCCTGCCACACAGTAAGAAGCAGTTTATCAGAGGCTAAGTAATTTACCTGTTCATGTAGCTGACTGGCAATGGTGCTGAAATTTGAACCAAGCGCAGACTTTGAAGTGTAAACACCTGTGACTTTTACTTACACTGTGCCCTGCAGAGTCTGATATGATTGAATCTTAAAAAAATGAGAAAATTTTGCCTTAGACTTAATGTTGTTTAGTATTACATAGTTTAATTAGAAAATAGAAATACTTTTGAATTTTTATTTTTCTTTATTCACCTCTAGATATTCAAGAATTTTATGAAGTGACCTTACTGGATAATCCAAAATGTATAGATCGTTCAAAGCAGTCTGAACCAATTCAGCCTGTAAATACCTGGGAAATTTCCAGCCTTCCAAGCACTACTGTGACTTCCGAAACACTGCCAAGCAGCCTTAGTCCTAGTATAGAGGTAAGATGAAAATTTTTTCTGAAGCTGTTTTTCAGTGATCAGTTTATTTGGGCTACTAAGTTTTTTCATTTTATTAAAATAGATATTTTGTAGAAATGGAATAAGAGAATGGGGTTAAAATATTTTTTTGAAAAGAAATGCTCAAAATTTCTGCTACCTCTTTTTTAAAATGTGAGTGATTTGAGGTCTAAAATACTTATTTTAGACTGTTAAAACATGCATAGCATGCTGGGCCTCATCTGCATGATAATTAAAATAAAAATTGTATCTTGAAAAGATGGTTTTGTTTTGAGTTTCTTTCCTGGAATTACAATATAGGTTGTGATTCTGAGTTGTCTAGTTACCTGTTTATCCCAAGGAGTCTCTGTTTCTTGTCTTGAAGCTGGATAAACCTTAAGGATAGTTAAAACTCTTTCTTTTTCATTTCGTAACTGTGTCTTAGTAATGCTCTTTTTTTTTTTTTTTTTTTTTATTGTGCTGTACTGTTATCAGTTGAGTTGGATATGGTGTAACAGTGATGTGAAACATTTTATGAGAATTCTGCCTGAAAAGCAGTAGGTGTTTGGAAGTGACTGTCTGAATTTGATTCTAGTCCTTTTGAGGTGGTACTAGATCGTGCCTGGGAAATTGAATCAGCATTTGTTTGGTGAATAATACGTAAGAGAAGTAGTAGGCAACAACTAGATAAGTAGACAGTTTTACCTTAGATTATTCTTTTTATATAAAGTAACATAAAAAATAGAATTTTGGAGTAGGAAGAATTAGAGCATATCTGATCCCTCGCCTTCATTTTAAAGATGAGAAAACAGATTGAGAAGGAAATAATTTAACCCAGTTTATTCAGCCAGTTTGGGCAGGTCTACCTCTGGTTTTCAGGTGTCTTAACACCCAATATATAGTTCTCTTTACTAATCCTGGTCTCACCTTCTGTTTCTTGGGTTAGAGAGACTAGTGTTATATTGCTTATAGATTCTTCTTTACTCTTCGTTTTATTTCTATCTCCACGCCCTTCTTTAGTTGATACATTTCTATCTCCACGCCCTTCTTTAGTTGATACAGCACTTCCTTTTATCATAGTGCACTTAGGGCCTTTATTTCAAATGAACTTTCAAAATGTCTGTAATCAGTTATTGCTGTGGTTTGAATGTGTCCCTTCCAAAATTCAGGCGTTACTGTTGTGATGATACTAAGAGACAGGACCTTTAAGAAGTGATTAGGTCATGAGGGCTCCTCCCTTTGTTAATGGGATTAAGGACTCTTTAAAGAAGTTTTGTGCAGTGTTTATTTTTAATTTTGTTTTTAGTTTTTTGCTATAGGGTGCATGCCCTTGCCAGAGGCTAGGAGAGTGAAAAAATCACCCCTACCCCCATGCCCTACCCTCGGTTTTGACCATGCCTCAGTCCCCTTCACCATTCTTTCAAGATGTTGGGCACATACACATATGTGCCTAGTGTGTTTTTGAAGCCACGGGATCCAGAACTTGAACAGTGACGTTGGCCACGTGGGATCCAACTGCCTTAACCTCCACGCCACTTGTTGGTCCAGCAATGTTTAACTTTTTAGCTTGCTCCTTTTTTTGCCATGTGAGAATGTAGTAAGGTATCCCTAACCAGACCAGTTACCTAGACATTGGGCACATGGGAAATACTCTAGTAATATTTGAAATCTGTATCCATTCACAGATGGACTTTAAGGGGAACATTGGGATGTACTCATCTAGTGCCAGATTTTTTAAATCATGGGGGAAAAAAATCTATGTGTTAAAGCTGGATGAGCTAGTCAGTTAATAGGATGTGTTGTTTTGCAGAGATAACAATACCTGACAAATGTTAGTTTGAAAATATTAGTTTAAAAAACACTGATGGATGACAGTTAAAATGAACAAAACCCGTAATGTTTAGGAATTTAATTTCTTTTTTTTTTTTTAAGAGAGAGATTTTTGCTAAAGGGCGCATGCGCTCTCTGGAGAGACAGAGAGACAGAAAGCGAGAAATAACCCACCAGGGGTACAGGCCACACCACAATTCCTCTCCTCCATTCTCTTCTTGGGACTTTGGGCACACACTCACGCACACCTGGAGTGAGATTTAAGCTGCTAGATCCCGGGCTTGAACTATGGTCAAACTACATGGGAGTCCAGCTACATAACCATTACAACATCTGCCTTCCTCACAAATCTTTGCCTTTTAAAGCATCTATCCAGTTTTTGTTTTTTTTTTTTTTTCCCCTCGTGTTAAAGAGAATGAGAGAGAGTGCACATGCATGCAGGATGGGAAAGGGGTGAGAGAGAAATAGGTGGGGTTTCACTTTTGTGATCCTCCGTCCCAGCCTCCGAGCTAGCCAGGGCTACAGTCCTGTGCTTCCGGGTGTGGCCAGTGCAGGTGAGTACAGAACTGAACCGGTCTTCCTCACATGCTAGTGGTCTATTGGTGCCATTTTTTAAATTATTATTTGATAGTTGGTAGTGATCTATTAATAACTCTTGCCATAAACTGTTTTTCAGTTACTTTGTTACATCAAAACTTTATTGTATTTCTTCTGATGTAAAGTTAATACCATTTATCTTTAAAGTGACATGATTAGTTTGGTATGTGTGTCTTTTTTTTCTTTTTCTTTTTTTTTTGGAGCGGTTTTTGGCATAGAGTGCATGTACTCGCCAGACAGAGACAGACAGAGAGACAGGAAGCGAGAAATCATCCCCCTGGGGGGATGGCCACGCTGCAATCCCTTCTCCTCCATTCTCCTCTCGAGATCTTGGGCACGCATGCACACGCACCCGACGTGAGTTTTAAGCCACCAGGTCCGGGATGTGAATCGCTGTCGAGTACATGGGAATCCAGCGACATAGCCATTGCACCAACTGCTGGTCCCAGTATGTGTGTCTTCTACTTTGAGCATATACTAGCTAGTGAGATGTTTGGGAATAATGTTTGTTTAATATTAATGCTTGTTTCAAGGCGATGAGAACCTTTTTTGTACTTTTCTCTATTTTAAAAAATCAGTAGTGCATGTCATTTTTTTATCAAAACAATTGTATTCTGAAACAAGAATTAATTGCTTTATTTTTTTTTTCTTTAAAGAGATTTTTGCCTTAGGATGTATGTGCTCACCGGAAAGAGAGAGACAGAGATAGTGATAAATCACCCCCGAGGGTGCGATGACCACGCCACACAGCAATCCCTTTTCCTCTGTTCACCTCTTGGGATCTTGGGCATGCATTCACAGGTGTCCTGTGTGATTTTGAAGCCACTGGGCCCAGGACCTGAACCACCATTGGCCATGTGAGAGTCCAGTGTCATAAATGGTATGCCATCTGCTGGCCCCTATTTTTTAATTTTAAAAATTTTATTAATTTCTTCCTTGAGGGAGGAAAAAAAAGGTAGAGAAAGAGGGAGAGAGACAGAAAGGGAGACACTTCCAGTAGGGTTGGCATACCACTGTTCTCTCCCCCTGGCATACCCAGAGACCTTGACACACGAATTCAGGACCCTCACGTAACAGCCTCAGCTTTCTGCGGTGTTAAATGCAGGACCTTCCCATAACAGCCTCAGCATCCTACAGTGTTGAATTACACCTGTACCGCTTGGCTGTCCTATGCTTTTAATGATTGTAAGGGGAAAAAAATGACTGAAAGAAAGCTAAGATAAAAGACTAGAAGAAATTCTCTGACTTAATGGGACATTGCAATAGAAAAGGATACACTATCCTATCTTTCACAGCAACAGTTGAGTAGAGCAACAGTTCAGTGCTTTAAAAAAAGAATCCATAAAAAAATAGTTTTTTGTGATTTTGATTAGGGAAAGTTTTCCTAAGTATGACACCCCAAAAAATGTGGCGCAAAAATTGAAAGAAAGAATTAAAAATGTTGAATAAAGAATTAAGAATTGTTGGGACCAGCAGTTAGCGTTATGGCTATGTTGCTGAACTCCCATGTAGCCGATCACGGTTTGAGCTCCAGACCTGGTGGCTTAAACTCATGCCAGGCCCAAGAGGAGAATGGAGGAGAAGGGATTGAGGCATGGCCATCCCCCCTGAGGGGGTGATTTCCTTCTTTCTATCTCTCTGTCTCTGTCTCTGTCTGGCGAGCGCATGTGTCCTATAGCAAAAACCTCTCCAAAAAAAGAAAAAGAATTAAGAATTGTAGATTTCTTTGTGGATTTCAACTTTGATAGTTTAAATTTTGATTGTAGAACTTCCATGTCTTGGTACAACAACCAAGAAAAATGATATCCTAGAATAAGAAAATTTGCCTTATAGATGAAAACGGATTTTCTTATATATCACTAAGAAAAGAGCCAGCATTAAGTAGGAAAGTGACCAGAGAGTGTGAAAATGCAATTTGGAGAAAAATAAATACACATGCACCAGTTAACCCATAGAAAGATGCTCAACTTCACGGTCTTTTCTAATTTGCCATAGGGCGTGTGCTTGCTGGAGAGGAGGGTGATGAAAAAGCATCCACAATGGGAAATGGTCATGCTGCAATCCCTTCTCCATTTTTCCCTTCTTTGGGATTTTGGGTGTGTATGTACCCAACTCACGCCCAATGTTTTTCTAAAGCTACCAGGTCTGGATTCAAACTGCACAGCCAGCCGTGTTGGATCCAGTTACCTTAACCACCGTGCCACTGTCTGGCTCCAACATTACTTTTTAAATTTTTAAAATTTTGAAACATTTATTTGGGGCTGGCAGGTGGTATGGTGGTTAGGGTGTTGGACTTCTACATGGTCGAATCCCAGAATTGGCAGTTTACTTTTTCACTCTCCTCTTGCTGTCTCTGTCTCTCTTGTCAAATTGAATAATAATAATTTTTTAAAGCATACAAAATACATTTACTTACTTATCTATTTATTTGTTGTGATTTTCAAGTTTTTGGGTCCAAGACCCGAACTGCAGTCAGCCGTATAGAAATCAGTGCCTTAACCACCATACTACCTGCTAGTCCCCCAGTATCATTTTTTTAAATTGCAAATTAAATTGAAAATGACAATTCAAAAAAG